GCAAATGGCGTGGCGGTCCCTGTAACCCGGCAATTCCACTTCTGGCCCAGTGGCCAAGGTGACAGCAGAGCTCGGCACTGCTGCCCCATAACTGTCCCTGACAGCCCCGGTCCCAGTGGCCACCTGAGTGAGCCCTGGCAGGTGAGCAGGGATGGGAGGGGAGTTTCTGCTGGGGGGAGGAGACGCTGACTCAGGAATGTCAGTTTCGTGGATTCTTTTTTTTCCTTTTTTTTGTTTTTTGGGTCACACCCAGCGATGCACAGGGGTTACTCCTGGCTCTGCACTCAGGAATGACCCCTGGCAGTGCTCGGGGGACCATATGAGATGCTAGGAATCGAACCCGGGTCGGCCGCGTGCAAGGCAAACGCCCTACCCGCTGTGCTATCTCTCCAGCCCCAGTTTCGTGGATTCTGAATGGTGAGTGCTTCAGGCAGTAAGTCAGTGACTTCCCACCCGCACGGTGAACACGAGAAACCGTCGGCGAGGGGGATCTGCCTCAGCACTGCGGAACCCGTAGCTCATGGGAATGCCGGGGGCCAAGCGTCCTCCAGGCTGCCTGCAGCCCCTGTGCGCATGTTGTGATGCAGGCTGGACACCCCGGGGAGGGCTTCAGAGCAAAGTGACGGGGCTCTCTCCTGCTGGCTCCCTCCCGGCCCCTCAGATCTGCCCTCACTCCATCTCGGTGGGTACCCACACAGCTGCCCCCATAGAGTGGCCCTGGGTGGAGGGCGGGGGCAGGGGCTGCTTCCCAGGCCTGGCTGGACGCTTCCAAAGACTGTCGCTGTCAGAGCAAACCCGGCTTGTACAGGGCTCCTGCCCATGGGAGGGGCACCCTTTCTCATGCAGATCTCAGCACCCTGCCCACCCACAGTCTCAGTGGGGAGAGGCCAGCAAGGCCTCCAATTAACAAGGCAAGAATGGGGACACCCCCTTTTCCCACTGGGCACAACCAACACAGGAAACCATGCTGAGGGCATCGCCTCTGGTCCCGAACCAAGGGTGAAGCTCAGAACTAGGGGTCACCATGGGTCCAGGGGCCATGGAAGCTGCTCTTGCTGGCTCAGACCCAAGTGGCCATGTCCAGCCACTGACCTGAGAAAGGGCCCGGTGTAATTCTGGCTCCTGGGGAGGGGGATTCTTCGAAAGGGAGGGACGGCTCCTGGTGCTGGAGCTGTGGCTGTGGGCAGGTGAGTGGGCACCGTCAGCCCCCAGCCCCCTACCCTCCAATCCCCCAAAACCCAGAAGTGCAGCTTCCCCCAGACCGTAAGGTGCTTATCCTCCTTCTGGAATGTCCAGAGACGGTTCTTCTCTTCCTACTAGGATGTTCCATGGACAGGGCTTCCCTTCCTGCTCGAATGTTCCAGGGACGGGGCTTCTCTTCCTGCTAGAATGTTCCAGAGACAGGCTCATGGTCGATGCCAGCCTGGGCAAGCTCAGGGGCAGCTGTGGAGATGGGTGGGCTGGGGTGGGCTCCCGATCTTTTTTTTTTTTTAATATTCTAAATTTTTTATTTTTTTATTTTAATGAATCAACGTGAGACACAGTTACAGACTTACCAACTTTCATGATTGCGTTTCAATCAATGTTTGAGCACCCATCCCTCCACCAGGGCCCATTCTCCACCCCCAATGTTCCCAGTGTCCCTCCCACCACCCTATACCCCACTCCACCCCCTCCCCTGCCTCTGTGGCAGACACAGTTCCTTTTACTCTCTCTTTTCTTTTGGGTGTTATGGTTTGCAATACAGACACTAAGTGACCATCATGTTTGCTCCATGGTCTACTTTCCAGCATGCATCTCCCATCCCACGGGCTCCCGATCTTAGCTGCTGTGGGCGCTGGGGTCTCCCAAGATCTGGCTCTGGCTGGGCCTGGCTTTGGGGTATTCCCAGAGTCCGGGAGATCTTATGAACATGGGGGACCCCCACCTCCTCCTTCACCAGGGCAAGTCTCTTCCTGGACCCCTCCAGGACTCACCCCAGCCTGGGTCCGGGTGTGACAGGGCTGACAGCCGGGGCCCTCCTGGGGACCAGTGATGTGTTTCCAGGCCCTGCAGACCGGGTTGACCGCTGGGAGAGGCAGTTTCTGGCCAGGATGGAGACTCCGCCTCCCGCCAACTTTATCCCAACACAGGTGTTGGGGTGCAGCCGTCCCCAGCCACCCTCTCCTCCCCCCCATTCCTCACCTCCTTACCCACCACAAGCAGCTAGAAACTACCTACAAGGAGCCAGAAGTTTCAAGTTGGCTCTTACCTTCTGCTTGCCTGCTGCTTCCAGAACCTTCTTCTTCTAGTTCTGGAAGATTCCAGGGCCCTTCCTGGGGTTCCAAGGTCACCAACCCCAACTGGGCCCTGGCCCCTGGGTGGCCCCTGGGTGGCTCCATCTTTGCCTTGTTCACAGGCACCACGGGCCCCACCAGATCTGGACTGCCCCCCCTGGGTGTTGCACCTGCCACTCCTGGTAAAAATTTGGGGTTCTAGGGTGGCCGGAGTGATAGTACAGCGGGGAGGGTGTTTGCCTTGCATGCAGCCGACCTGAGCTCAATCCCTGACATCCCAGATGGTCCCCCAAGCACTGCCAGGAGTAATTCCTGAGTGCAGAGTCAGGAGAAACTCCTGAGCATCGCTGGGTGTGACACACACACACACACAAAATCTGGGGTTCTAGAAGGTTCCTCCACTGCCTCCTGCCTCTCTCCACTCCCCCAATCAAGCAGTTCACCCCAATACCTCTCGACCAGGACTGCCACCTCCTGCAGGGACCCATCTCTGCAGAGCCAAGGCTGGTGTTTCCCCTGACTCATTTCCCCCGACTTGGGCTGGAGTGATAGCACAGCGGTATGGCATTTGCCTTCTGCTCAGCCAGCGTGGCTGAGCCGGGTTCGATTCCTCCACCCCTCTTGGAGAGCCTGGCAAGCTAACGAGAGTATTCAATATGCCAAACACAGTAACAGGAAGTCTCACAATGTAGACGTTACTGGGCCCGCTCGAGCAAATCGATGAACAACGGGAGGGCAGTTTGCAGTGTGTTTGTTTCCCCCGACTCAAACCATCTTTCTCCTTCTGTGTTCTGGGCCACACCTGGTGGTGCTCAGAGGGCCACTGGGGTGCTGGGGCCTGAGCTGGGGTCTGCTAGGTGCCAGGCAGGTGCCTTGGCCCTGGGTTGTTCTCCTTGGGCAGAGGTGGCAGAGGTCTTTGTTTTGGTTTGGTGGCCACACCCAGCAAAGGCCATGCCCAGGGAAGCTCTGGGGCATCAGAGACTCCTCGCCGCCCCTCCCCCACCATGCTTCTGACAAACCCACTCCCACTCGCGGCCACATTAGTATGCAGCCCGGGGATCCCCGTGAGACCTCACCGGCTCAGAGCAGTGAGTAAATTCACACGCGGCTGGCAGAGGTTCTGACGTGGGAGATTGTAGAGTCAGAACTTCTGCTGGAGGCTGAGTCACACCTGGGACGCGGGAACCTGACCTCTGACCTTCACGGGTTGACGGTTAAGACACTCCAGGTTTATCCCAAGGCCCTGAGGTAGGCGCTGAGGAAACCAAAGAGCTGGGAGGCACTTAAGCGTCTCTGCTCAGTTGCCTTTGCTCCTTGGTGCTGGAAGCCCTTGGGGTGGCCCTTGGGTCAGTGCACCTGCACGGGGAGTTCCCGGCCACCCCCGCTCTCTGCCCCAGTGACCTCTGGGTGTGAGTCTCCTGTAGCCTCCAGACGCCTGCGGCGGCCACCGTGGGGAAGAGGCCGGGAGAGGCAGGGCGTTCCCGGCCCTGGTGCCCCCTGGGAGAGGCAGGGGTCTCCAGCCCTGGGCCCCGGTACCACGTGACGCTCGATTCAAGGCAGGCAGGGGGCGGCCCATGGGGCCCGAGCCCCGAGAGTGGACAGGCTGCCCCACACGTGCCAGCGCGGACATGAGTCGTCCCAGGCACCTGCCACGGCGGCCCCCACGGCTCGCGCTGTCTCACGGGGCAGAGGGGACAGCAACACTCACTTCTCTCAGGCCACAGAGCGTGGCCGGCCCCAGGGCCCTAGACCCAGCCGGTACCTGGGCTGGGGACACGTCTGCCCTGGGTCGCCTACCTGCTTGGAGCAGCCTGGCGCTGTCCCGGGAGGGTGGCTGTGGAGCCAGGCGGGGTGAGGCAGCCTTCTCACGTGAGGGCCCACGCAGCCTGGCGAGACCACACAGGGCAGGGGATGGTGCCACCCAACGCCCCACGGACCCCAAACAGCCAAGGGCGACTCCTAAGCAGAGAGGCAAGGGGAGTCCCCGGGCACCAGTGGGCATGGTCAACCCCTACACCCCCCCCCCCACACACACACACCAACACACACCCACACACTTCCCTCTTACACCCAACGCACACCCACATCTCAACACACATACACACCCCAACATACACCTCCTTCATACACCCCCAACACACCAACGCCCTAACACTCCCCACACACGCCCCAACACATAAACCTCCCTCATACATACAACCCAACACACTGATACACATCCCAACCAACACATACACATCCCAACACACACACCAACATACACACCTCCCTCATACACACACCCAATACACACACACACACCCAACACACACACATACACCCATACATTAATACACTTCCTTCATACACACACCCCAACACATCCACAAACACCCACACACACACCCCCAAACCAGACACATAACACCTCACCACATACATACACACCCACACCTCCCCCCCAAAAAAACAGGCACACAACACACCTCCCTCATATGCACACACCGCACAACATACACACATGCAAAACCAGACACCCAACACACCTCCCTAATACACACACCCCAACACATACACACGCACATGCATATACACCAACACCACTCTCATAGGCAACCGCCCCCCCCAATTCCAACACAACATATACACTAACTTTCCAGCACATACACACACACTCCAACACCCCCCCCCCACACACACACATACACACAGGAAGCAAAACTACCCCAAAGTAAAACACATTAAAAACTTTATTGTACAGCTCACACACGTCCAAATTTGCATCAATTTGATACATTCCTGCTCATTTTGCAGAAGACAATACTTGCACAATTTCTCTCCCTCCCGGGTAGGCGGCATCAGCTTCCCACGCTGGCTCCTGGCCTGCTCTCTGCTTGCCGCCCTAGGGACGGGGCAGCTCAGGGAGCGGCCGCGCTGGTGTTTGCTGCCACGCCGAGAGGCAGCCGTGGGCGCTTGACACAGGTCACTTGGGGCGGTGCCTGGGGATCCCGTGAGGTGTCCCCCCACCCCCAGCCCCCAAACTCAACTCAGAACCTGATCACGGCTGGTGTTTGCAGATGGAGGTCGGGAGAAGGAGGCGGGGCCCCTGGACTGGCTGCCCGAGAGCTGGCGGGCGCGGAACCCGGGGGCCTGGACGCGGAGCAGCCGGAGCGGCCTGAAAGCAAATCTGAGCAGGGAAACGAACAGAACCGGCAGAGAAGGAAGTCCTCGAGGAGGCTGGGCGCGTCCTTTCTGAAAGGACGCACGCTGGGGCGTCCCGGGAGGGCGGGGTGGCCACGCCGCCTTTGTCCATTGCCACGTCCATCGGGGAGGAGCTGGGAGTCTCCCGGGGCGGGCGGCCCCCACGGGACAGGAAAGCGAGAGCGACATGCTAACTCAACAGCGAGCTCAGCCCGTGCCCGCGGGCTACGGAGCCGGGTGGCGGGCGCCGGTCAGTGCTGCAGCAGGAAGTTGGTGGCCACGTTCAGGTCATTGTTGGAGGCTCGCAACGCCTCCAGGGCGTCCCCCCGGGAGAAGCCCATCTCCATCAGCCGGGCCACCTGTGGGGGACAGAGTGGGACTGTGAGGCTGGGCCGAACGGGAAAGCGGGAGGGCGAGCCCCCACCCTGGTCCCTGCCGCCCATGGAGGGTCCCTGGCCCTCAGGTCAGCGCCTAGCTCCTTCCAGGGCCCCTTCTCCCAGGCACCTCGGGGCCAGAGCTGCTGTCTGCACATACGTACCGACCCTGGCACACATGCGCTCACGCTCACACACACACATGCCGTTATGGATACACTCATGCAACACAAGCACACACAGGGCTCATACACGCACACACTCACACATGCACACGCATGCAGTATAGACACAGAGGCACTGACAGACACATACACACATGCAGTTACGGACACACTCAGACACACAGGCACTCACAAGACTTATACACACACATGCAGTTATACATGATATTAAACAGTTATACAGGTGTAGGATAGCATTGATTTGTCCTTTCTCCCTTGCCACAGGGAGTTTAGGTTTATCAGATTACACCTATCACAGTGCTCCCGAGTCACTCCCATTCCTCTGTGCTTATCCGTAACTTCTCTATGCTCTCTTCCCCAACCAGCTAATCACCTTTATCCCCTAATCAGATTCTGTTAACTTACAAGGTCAGATCCTTCTAAGGACACTGAACTTGTATTGTAGGTTAATATTGCCTTTCTCCTCTCCTTATAGCTTTTGCATAGTTTACTTTAAAGCAATGTCCTTTTTGTATGGACAAAGGAAGACAGTTAATATTATGCTTTTGTAACTGGGGGGTAAGTTGTTTCTGAACAATACAAACTCCGGGGCATCTGCTTCCTTGACTTAAGCCTCCATTGCCCTTAGTTCCTGGCACCCTAAAAGCAGGGCCCCGACGAGGGACTGAATGGACCCAGGGCAAGCTGTGAGCTACCCTGGCATCGAAATGGGCCAGGACAAGTGCCATAATACCTAATTAAAAGTTAAGAGCACGTTCGTGGACAAACTCTGTCATGACCCAAAAGAGGTAACTGAATAAGGACCCTCCTGGGGTTAGGGAGACTAACCTGGCCTGAGGGAAGCGGAGACCACAAAACACGGGGCGGCGAGAGGAGAGAGAGAGCGCCACTGCCCTTTAATATATATACACATACAGGCACTGACATACTCGTACACGCACACACGCATGCAGTTACGGACACGGACACAGGGCCCCACGGGGGCTGTGCGCGCGCATGGGTGTGGATGTGCGTGTGTGTGCGTGTGTATGTGTGGGAAACTGCAGGGGACGCGGGGACCCCAGGGAGGCACATGCCCAGTGCTCTCCAGGGCTTGCAGCTGGCCCCGGCAGGGCCTCTGGCTGGAAACGTTCCTTGTTCCTGCACCCCGACCTCAGCGCCGGGCCCGCCGTCTGCACTGCTCAGCGGGTCTACGGGACGTGACTAGCCTCATGCGTTACTGAAAAAGCTGCCTCGGGCAGCGAGGGGGACACTCCGGCATCTCATTCGCCCGGGCTGCGTGCGGCTGTGCTCTACTCACTTCTCCTTCGAGTGAGCAAAGGGTGTCAAAACAAAAGGTTTTGGGGTGCTGCTTCCTTCCCCAATTCTGAAGCGTGCAGCGGGTGGCCCCGACCGACCTACCCTCTCCAGGCAGGCTGCCTGCTGGGGTGGGGGGGCGACTATATCAGGGTGGGGTGGGATGTGGGTCACGGCTGAGAGCACTCTGGCCTTGGCCATGGGGGGACGCCCGCGATGAGGGCCCGTGGACGCAGTGACCTTGCAGGGGCGTGGGTGAGCTCTTGGCTGGGGCGGAGAGGAAGAGAAAGGAGCAGGCCTGGCCTCGGGGGAAACTGAGGCAGGCACAGGGCAAGGACCAAGGGGGTCTCGAGGTGGCTCTCCCTCAGCTCGGGGCATCTCAGGGCACAGGGACCATCTGCCCCCAGCGGTGCCATCAGAGGCAGGGTGAGAGGCTGGGGAGACGGTCAGCAGTGCACACCCAGCACACGTGAGGCCCTGAGTCGAACCCCCCCAGACCCGGTGCTCCCCCTGCCTGCAGCTGGGGCTGGAGTTCAGGTACCCTGGTCTGCTCGCTCTCAGGAAACTCCAGAATCCCGCCTGGCTCCCTGCGCCGTGAAAGGGATGTGCAGATGCGGGAAGGCGCTCGGAAGTGGCTCCCACCCCCGTTTCCCACCAACCTCCTCCCCGGCAGGGCCCTGACCCCCAGCCTCATGTCTTCTTCACTCCCACCCCAGCCGCAGTCCCCCTCCAACGGACTGGATGCGTCTTGCCCAGATGAAGCTCGTGGAAGCTGCCCTGACCCACAACTCCATTTTGGAGACTGGTGGGGTCTTTGGCACCGTGGACAGGGCTGTTGCAGCTATACTGGGCCAGTGGGGGAGGGGCGGAGGAGGGCCAGGGAAGGCAGAGGTGTGTCCTGCCCGACCCCGCCCCCCCATGTCTGCCCTCTTGTGTCTCGCCCCCACCCCATGAACAGCGGGAGTCTGGAGGACACACAGGAGGACTCTGCTAAAGTGCTCCCCATTAGCGAGCTCCGGGACACGGAGGAAGGTGCCGGCTGAAGTCCAGAGAACCGACACCCAAGGATGCGGCTGTGTAAGGACTCCCGACTACACTGTTACGGCCTACTGAGGAAGAGTGAATGGCTGTTTGGGGGTGGGACACAGCAGCAGTGCTCTGAGGCCACTCCTGGGGGCACTCGGGGGACACCCCGGGCACTGGGACGGGACTCTGGGCGACCAGGCACAAGGCGGGAGGATCCCGGGAAATGATTCATTAAAAGAAGAAACAACAACCCCAAACGTCCCCGGCCGACGCCACCTCTCCGTTTAGCACCTTCACCTTCCGCGTGTTTCCGCCCAGCACTAGCAGAGAACGCCCTTGCCCGCCCTTCAGCACCTCTGGGCGGTTCCGCCCCGCCAGGGACCTTTCTCAACTCCCACTCCCTGCGTTGAAGGGGGCTTCACTGCCTGCCCTCGGGAGATAATCTGGCTCCGACCCAACTCTCAGGCCCGAAGGGGCACAGGACGACCCACGCACTGAGATGTAGGGAGTGTGTGTGCATCTACGTGAGTGTGTGTGTGTGGGGGGGGTGTGCATGTGCCACTGCTCAGAACACTGACGTGTGTCTCTGAGTGTGTCTGCGTGTGCGTGAGTATGTATGTGTGCATGTGTGAGAGTATGTGTATGTGTGTCACTGTTGAGCATGCTGACACGTGTGTCCAACTGTGTGTGCACGCGTGTGTTTGTATAGGTATGTGTGCATGTGTGTGCATGTGTGTGCATGCATATGAGCATGTCTATCACTACTTGGCACACTGGCATGTGTCTGAGTCTGTGCATGTGTGTTTGTGTATGTACACGTGTGTGTCACTGCTGAGCACACTGACATGCGTGTCTGTGTGTATGTGCGTGTTCGTGTATATGTGTATATGTGCATGCCACTGCTGAGCACAGACACATGCGTCTGTGTGTACATGCGTATGTTTGTGTGTGTGTACATGTGTGTCACTACTGAGCACACTGGCGTGTGTGTCTGAGTGTGTGTGTGCTTGTGTGTATGTATGCATGTGCGTGTGTCACTGCTGAGCACACTAACATGTCTGTGTGTGCGTGTGTTTATGAGTATCACTGCTGAGCACACTGACATGTGTGTCTGTGTGTGGCTGTGTATACATGCATGTGTACGTGTGTGTGTGTGTCCCTGCTCGGCACAGCATGCTGGCGTGTATGTGTGTGTGTGTGTGTGTGTGTGCGCGTGCGCGCATGCGTGTCTCTCCCTGCACGGCACACTGCCCCGCCATCTCACACGTGTCTGTGAGAAATATGACCCCTGTCTGTCACCCCTGTTCCCTCCTGCTGCCTCCCAGACTAGCCAGGAGGCAACGGTACCCCAGGGGGAGCTGCCTGCCCTGGGGACAGGGACTGGCCGGACGAGGGAATGGCTGGAGGATGTGAGCAGCTGCGTGATGTGTGAGAGATTCGACGCACTGGATCCCACTCTCCATGTGACTCACAGGTTGGCGGGATAACACAGGGCTGGGGCGAGCGAGCTGGCCCTGATCCCACTCTGCCCCCCAGGCCCCGCCAAGTATTGTGGGGGAAGCTGGAGCCTCCACACCACAGGGCGTGACCCCTGACCCGGGCTGCAGGCTGTGACCCCTGTCCTCTAGCTTCAGGCTGACCCCACTGTCCCCTCACTTCATGGTGTGACCCCACTTTCCCGCGCTGCTGATCTGAGCAGCACTGTGTTCCAGACCCTCTCATTGAACCCCTGGCTCGGCTGGCCGAGACCCTCCGGGGGTCCCCAGCCCCTGAGCTCTGCTGGGAGGTTCCCCTCCACACAGAATTACTTTCAGAGATCAAAGATACTTTTCCAACATTGCCTTAAATAACAATAAGGTTACAGAAAAGCCTCCAGGGCTTCCCCAGAGCCCGGACTCCTCATTCGGGTCCCTGCCTGCCAGTCACCAGCTCTCATCTACCTGGTTTACTTGTGAGCGTGCGCGCACGCATACACACACACACACACAGACACACACACACACACGTACGCACACACCCACACGCACACATACATGCACAAACACATGCACACATGCACGCACATACATGTGTGAGCAAAGGTTGTGTATGTGTGCACATACCATATATGTGTGTGTAAACATTCCCCGCGCTTAGTGTATATGCATGTGTTCACATGCATCCACACTACATGCACACACATGTACGAGGGTCAAAGGCGTGTGCCTAGACATGTACACATTCTGCAGACGCAGGCTGGATGCGAGTGCCTGGGTCTCTGACGTGTGCTGCATACTTACACAGGAAACTTATAGAAGCACATGGTACTTGAACACAGATAGCACGTATGTACATGAGTCCTATGCATGTGCAGTCTACATGCATGCAGGCCATAACCATGTACATGAGTTCTACACATGGACAGGCACATGTGTACACGTGCTCACACACCCCAAGTTTGTGCTGGACCCTGGACTCAATTCCCCGCAGCCCACCACAGCCGGGCCTGCAGGACCCCCCAGTTTGCCACAGCTGTGTAAATGCCAGGCCTGCAGGATGTGCCCTCACACCACGGGAGAGCTCTGTAGAGCGCGGGATTAGCACGCCATTCAGGTTCTCTCGAGACTGTGGGAATATCACGTTCATGGAACTCCACTCCCCCCGTCCCCAGGAACCATCCATCTAAAGACACGCAATTAGCTGTTTCAGAGCCACTGTGGTGCCACCACTGATCCGCTTTCTTTCAAAACTGATGATCACGAACTCACCCCCCTCAGAGTCACACCTCCCCAGGTTCCTGCCTTCTACCCCCACCCCCCGGGAACTGACTCACCCCTTTGCTGGGGGTGTGTAACACCACCTGTGTAACCGAGCTCTCTGTGATAGAGCAGGGTATTCATGGGGCTATTTCCTGCAAACACATCCTGGCAGATACACAGAATGCTCCATTCCATCACTCTCTCTCTCTCTCTCTCTCTCTCTCTCTCTCTGGGGCCACACAAAGCCATGCTCAGGGCTTACCCCTGGCTTCACACTCAGGGGTCACTTCCGGCGGTGCTCAGGAGACCTTATGGGGGCCGGGGATCTACCCTGGGTGGGCTGCGTGCAAGGCCAGTGCCTCCCCACTGCCCTCTCTTGTTACACCTTCCTCTCGCTCCAGAGCCGCCCGCACGTCCCTGCTGAGCCTGGCCCATGCATGAAGCCCCGGGCTGCTGCGTTACCTGCTCCTCGGAGACCTCCAGTGGCGGGGCTGCGGGCTGCTCTGGGCGCCGGCCCTCCTGGTCGTTGGCATTGCGCCGCTGTCGTAGGGGTGGGAAGAGCCGGTTCCAGTCGAGCACTCTCCCCTGTAAGAGAGCAGCAGGTCTTAGCGCATCAACAGTCCGGGCCCAGAGAAACAGCAGCGAGCCTGGAAGACACTACAGCACCGGAGATCTCTCTGGGCTCCGACAGCACCAATTTCACTGGGGCACCCCAGATAGAGCAGGTGCAGTCTCCCCGCCTACTCCCGATAGAATTCTGGCAACCAAGAGGTTCCACAAGCCAGGCCCAGGGATGCGGGTTCCAGGACCGAATCTCCATGCCACATGGCAGCAGAGGCGCCGGGCTGTCCCTCCCTGGCTCCCTGCCCACTCGCTGGTCTGGCAGTCACACCCACAATGTGCCTCCGGGTGCCATCTTAGTGCCCCAACAGCCCTGGTCCAGAGATGCCCAGTTGAATCCCAAAATGGATAAGAGCCCTACAGAGATGTCTCCGGAGCCCATCCGTCTACAATCTAGGATTCCAGAAGTGCACGGTCACGTCACCCATGATATTCAAGCCGGCTTCCGTGGTGGTGGGAAAATTCGAGCAAAACATAATGCCCAAAAGTAGAGAGAGAGTTTTGGGGAAACTGCCTACCATGGAGGCACCCGGGGGAGAGTTGGCATGGGGGGGGGATATTGGGGACACTGGTAGTGGAAAGTGTGCATGAGTGGAGGGATGGGTGTTTGATCATGGTATGGCTGAATCTCAAACATGGAAACTTTGTATCTCATGGTGATTCAATTAAAAAAAAAAGTAAGGTGGAGTTTATGCCCAATTCAATCAACTTAATAAATAGCAGTACTCCTACATTAGAAAAAAGAAAAAAAGAGAGTGGTGGGCTGTGGGGGCACATGGAAGGGGGTTTCTCCTGCCATGCAGAGACGGGGGACAAGGAGGAGGCAGCCAGTCCTGCCATCAGGGGACAGCGCTGGGGCCTGCACTGGCGCGGGGGAGAGGGGAAAGACAGTGACAGGAGGCTCATGGTGTCGGTCAGTCTGTGCTATCAAGCCACGGGGAAGGAGGCACGTACTGACATCACCTCCCCACCGCCCGGAGTGGGCCTTGGCCCTCGCAGCCCTACGTGTCAGCAGTCAGCAGCTAGGCAGTGTGGGCTCCCCCAGAAAGGGGTGCGGAGTGACCACGACCATGGCAGCACCCGGCTGGGAGCGCAGCCCCCACGGACCCCCGTGAAGACCCTGCAGGCGGGTGTGAGTGTGGCCCCAGGGGTCTCCACAACAGCTAACAGCGGAGGGAGAGAAACACCCCTCAGAGGACTGTCAGGGCCAGAGGAGGGGCAGGGGTCAGAGGAGGGGTGCCGTCCCTCCCCCAGCAGGAGGGAAAGGGGAAGTGGGAGCGTGTGGCGACCCCCCTGGCTAAGTGGGAGAGGAGGAGCGGGCAGTGCCGGGGAACTGACGCCCCAGCCCTGGGCTCTCCATGGGCAGGCGGGAAGCCCCCGCTGTCCCTCACCCGCGTGGACCTGGCAGCTTCCCGTGGTCCCCTGTGCCTGGGCTCTGACGAGAGCAGGACACTGAGATGATTTCAGTTCCTGTGACCTGGTGACTGTCGCAGGGCCCCGAGCCAGTCCCCAGCTGCCCTGGACTCAGTCTCCGGCCACGTGCGGCAGCAGAGTGTGTGTGGGGAAGGTGTGTGTGCAGACCTGTGTGGATGAGTGTGAGCATGTTTAACTGCACACACACATGTGAGTGTACATGCATGTGAATGTCTGTAGGTACAATGCCCGTGTGTGTGTGAGTGTGTGTATTTGATGTCTGATGTGTGCATGTGTAATGCCTGTGCGCGCGAGTGTATATGTATGTGTATATATGAGTGTCTGATGTATGTGTGATGCCTGTGTGCATGAGTGTATATGTATGTGTATATTTGTGTGTATGTGTAATGCCTGTGTGTATATCTAAGTGTGATGTGTGCGTATATGTGTAACGCCTGTATGCATGAATGTGTACGTATGCATCTGTGTGCGATATATGTGTAATGACTATGTGCATGAGTGTATATGTATGTGTATATCTGTGTGTATGTGTAATGCCTGTGTGTATGTGTATATCTGAGTGTGATGTGTGTATAGGTGTAATGCGCGTGTGTGTGAATGTGTCTGTATGTATATATCTGAGTGTGATATATGCTCATGTGTAATTCCTGTCTGTGTGTGTGTGTATCTGAGTGTGTGATGTGTGTGCATGGGTGACTGTATGTGTGTGTGCGTGAACATGCATGTGTGTAAGTATGAGTGTAGAGCGTGTGATGGTGTGTGTAGATGTGCTGGCTGTGGCCGAGAGCCTGGAGAGGCTCCGTGGATCCACATGGGGGGACACCAGGCGGGCCCCACAGGCTGCAAGTGAGCGGATGGGGCGGGAGAGCGAAGGCAGAAGGACAACATGGCAGGGCAGCCACCCTGGGCTCGAACCCCAGCTGGGCCACTGATTGTGAACTCGGCAGGTGACTTTTTTTGCTGTTGTTTTTTGGGTCACACCCAGAGTTGCTCAGGGACTCCTCCTGGCGGTGCTTGGGGGACCACATAGGGTGCCGGGGACTGAACCCGGCCCCTCCTGTCCAGCAGGAACCCAACACTCCAAGGCAGTGGTGGTGGTCAAGGTGACCCCGTTATTTGGCGCTTTTTGGCCACACCTGGGCTGACTCCTGCCTCTGCACTCGGGTCACTCCAGGTGGTGCTTGGGAGACCAGGTGGGGTGCTGGGGACGAAACCCAGCCTAGCTGCGTGCAAAGCCAGCACCTGACCCGCCCCAAGGGGACCCCCCTACTCTACCTTGCTGGCTCCTTTGCCTCGGTCCTCGAGAGCACCCCCAAGGGAGCCCTAGTGGCTGAAGAACGGGAGTCCTTGGGTGCCATGGGGAGGCCTCAGTCACCCCTCATCACCCTCCCAGGAGGACCCAAAACAGCTCGGACCACTGGGGGCCCCAGGCACTTGGCCCCGGGTCTGAGCTGATACGTGTGGAGCAGGCACTAGACCACTAGCCGGAGACGTTCCGGGGTGGAAAAGCTGCGAGTTTGCTTCTCTGGGCAGGAAGGCCTTGGGGAAGGATGGTGAGGAAAGTGACCTCTGAGTGGCAGCGAGGGAAAGTTCTGGAGAGACGTAGGGCCCAAGGCACTGTCCTGCGGTCACACCTGCACTCTTGGTCATCCCATCGGCACGGAATGGAAAATAAAAGTGACTTTCTTGAGGTCGCTGCATGAGTCAGCCTGGGACAGGGATTCAGATGGAGACTGATTCTATCTTTCTGCGTAGTTGTTTCAAAAGGGCCCCAGTGATCAACGGCAAGAGCCCCGAGATATCGCGGGAGTTTCTGCAGCGAGATGAGGGCGCAGATAAAGAGCCCAGCTGGAACGCCAGCATCCTCGCACCCCGTGTTCATCGGCTCTGGAGATTTTTATCAACGAGGCACCGCCGAGTTACTCCACACTTGCCATTACGCGCTTCACCCCGGCGAGGAGAAAGGCCACGAGAGCGAGCCTGGTCCTCAGCTGACTCTGCACCACAAGGGGAAGAGGGGCAGCCGGACAGGGAAGGCCCCGAGAGGCTCCCAGGGGTGCGACCCACCCAGGTGGCGGAGAACTTGCTCCTGCCTGTCAGCACAGCCACACGTGCACACACCCACACACGCACATGCACACAATGCTTACATATGCACATATGCACATGCCCACACGTGCATATACACATGTGCACATACAGGCACATGCTCACGGTGCGCACACATACACACATAAGCACACATGCGCACACAAACCCACAAGCACACAACACTAACACATGCAGACACATACCCACGCGTGTCCACACACATATATACACATCCATATACACACGCATAAGCGCACATGCACACACCCACACACATGCCTATCCATATACAGTGCACACAACTGCACACGTTTCCACACATATACACACACTTCCTCACCCCACATGTGCCCACACATGTATACACTCCCACATGTACAACTCTGTCAGCCGCTTTCTTCTGATCCCTGGCAGCTGGGTCAGGATCACTTCTCATGGTCAAACCCGGCCTGTGCTCAGCTGGCCCCCACCCAGTCATGGCGACCGCCCCCAGAGCCTGGCCTTGTGCAGAGAGGAGGTTCCTGGAGAAGGTGGTGTGGGTGAGAACAGGGGCCCAGGGGGCCCTCCTCCGGGATGGCTGACATATGCCCTGACCCACGGATGGGCCCAGGAACAGGACAAGCTCCACAAGGCCCACGGTACCGGCAACTCTGTAGACACGCAAGGACAATGGAACACACACACACACACAAACACACACAGACTTGGAGGGCCAGAGAAACGCCCCCCAAACTGGCTGTGGGGTAATGGTGTGACTGTCCTGTGGAACACCTGCGGGTGGTGGGCTGCGAGGTTCTTCTCTCTCCATCGGACACAAACACACGTCAGAAGACACAGGCTGAGGGGGCCGGGGAAGGGCTCAGAGTAGGGGACACCTGCTTCATACGCGGGAGCTCCAGGTCCTGTCCCCAGCACCACGTGATCCCAGAGCACCGCCAGGTGTGACACTCCCCCCACCCACCCCCCCCCACTGGCAAATGCGCAGAGAACTTTAGAGCACAGTGACAAATTCAAGCCCCGGCCCCAAAATAGAGTCGGTCTCGGCCCGCAGGCAGGGATGACTCATGAGAGACGCAGATGTTCGCTCTTCCCCTGACAACTGTCACCGGGCGGGTGCAAAGACAAACACCAACCCTGGCCACAGGACGTCACTGCGGGGGGAGGGGCGTGCAGAGACTCAGTTCAACAGGCTGAAAAATGATCGAACCCCGTGTATGTGGAGGCACATCTGCATGCGTGTACATGTATGGCACAAAATGTGTGCAGAGATGTGTGCACTCACGCGAGTGTATGCATGTGCGTGTGCAAATGTGTGCACACTCACATGAGTGTGTACATATGTGTCAGTGCATGCAGGATGATGTGGGCATGGTGGAAATGTGGAGGCTGAAACGGGAGTGACAGGCCACAAGGACAGAGACCACCCCAGGATGCCCCGAGGCCAGGAAACAGCAGTGCCATCTGCTGGGCATGTGCCCGGGCTCCTACCCAGGGATCTGAGACTCTGGGTCTGCAGAGGGGGCAGGTCTGGACACAGGGAAGATGACACAGATGGAGGCATGCTGGTGCCAGTGGGCATGGGGGGGGCACAGGATGCCTGGGGAAGGTCAGACCACCAGGAGAGGGGTCACGGGATGCTCGGAGGTCAGACCCTGGGGAGACGGTCCCGAAGCTGGGTGAAACAGGGTGCAGGGAGCTACACACCCATGTTGCAGGCTCTGATGGCCAAGACGTGAAACCCAGCAAGTGTGGGTGTGGCGAGCCCTGACAGGCAGCGCCCTGCTCTGAGCTTCGACAGACCCCGACTAAGAGGGACGCATGACCTGTGCCCCTACTCAGAGGGATGCGCCTCTGCGGGGTGGCCAAGGGGCTGCTCCAGTGCTGGCAGATGCCAACACATGGGGCTGGCAGAGAGAGTAGTGGGGGACAAGCCCTCGGGAAGCACTCCGAGACAAGAAGTGCCCCTCTAACCCAGACCCAGCTTGGAGGGGGGAGGGGGGAGGGCCTGGATCTGGCCTGGCAGACCCCTGCTCTCCTCTCCACTCTGCAGCTTCCCAGGACAAGGTGTGGGGCGCCCCCGCCTCCTCTGCTGTCTGCTGCCCTGCGGTGCCCTCGGAAGGGTCTGACGGGGGTTGCTGGGGTCACTCCTATTTAGGCCTGGGGGGAGGGGGGGCTAGGGGGTGCAGGGGCAGAAGTCGGGGCCTGGAACGCTCTGGGCTCTGCGTGGCCGCCTCCCCCCAGATGCGTGTCTGCCCCCCGGCTCTGCTTCCCGGGTACCCCAACCCCACCTCTGCGGCGGCCTCAAGTCCAGCGCCCACCTCTGTAGGGCACAGCCTTGGCGTCCACCTTCCGCCTGCACCCTCGGCCCCTTCTCGCACCCGGATCCTCGGGTGTGACAGATGAGCAGGGTCAGGGCCTGCAGCTGGCGTCACCCAACTCAGGACTGGGAAGGCGGTTGGGGGGGGGACAGGGACACAGCGGCCCGCACTGCCCTAACCGGCTCAGACACGCCCCCTCCACACCCCGCCCCAGAGTCACGTGCCCAGCCCATGGCCCCGCCCCACAGGGACACGCCCCCTCTCTGCCCTGCCCCAGTCAGGTTCCAAGCTCTGTGGCCCCGCCCCACCCTGCATGGATACGCCCTATATAAGCCCCGCCTACCGCAAGGACAGACTCCAGGGTCTGCCCCCTCCCGGCCTGCCCCTGCCTGGGCCCGCCCCGCCCGAGCCGCTCACATGCTCCTGCCGGGTCCGTCGGGCCTGGGCCAGCTGCGAGAGCATGAGCTGCCGGTCCAGCAGCTCCATCCGCTGCTGCCTCTGGATGTCCACCGTGGCGCCCATACCGATGCGGGTCTCGGTGGCCGGCTCCGACGACGAGAAGATGGGCTCGAGGGTGCAGGAGAAGAACCTGGCCACCCAGCCGGGCACGCACAGCACGCGGTCCACTTGCAGCACCTTGCTATTGTAGCAGATGCCGGAGATCTGAAAGAGAAACGCCCGTGGGTGCTCACTGTGGGTGCTCACCTGTGGGCAAAGGGTGGCACCCCCTGAGCCCCGCGAAGACCTCGGGGCCACTGTTCCGTGACCACGGAGAACACCTAGCACGTTGCAGAATGCTCACAGGGGTCAGACCTGGCTCTTTTCAGGATGCTACGGAGGCAGCCAGCACTTCTCCATTGAAGACGCAGAGTTATGGCAAGTGTTGGAGAAACAAGGATTTTTCTCTTATTTAAAAATCTTTTATTTGGGGCCGCAGTTAGTGGTTAAAGATTCGATAATTAAGACACTTTCCCACTGTGTGAACCCCTGCTGGAAGCTGGCGTCCAAGAGAGGTGGAGGTGACCTGGCCATATAGAAGTTTCCAAAAAGCTACCCATCCATGGAGCGCTACTCTTCAACCTTCCTACACTTGCGCAGGCCCTGCTGGGTCCGCAGTTGAAGACCACCGCTGCGGACAGTTTAAACACTGTCTTAATCAAGTTCTCAAATATTAACCTCTAATTTGGGGGACAGGCCACACCTGGGGGGTCCTGAGGCTCGCTCCTGGCTCTGCACTTGGGGATCACGCCTGGCGGGGAACATGTGGGTATTGGGGATTGAACCTGGGTCAAACGCATGCAAGTGCCCTACCTGCTGCACTATCTCTCTGCCCTCCCCCCTTTTGATTTTTGCTTTTTGGGTCACACCCAGCGATGCACAAGAGGTTACTCCTGGCTCTGCACTCAGGAATCACCCCTGGCAGTGCTCAGGGGACCATATGGGATGCTGGGAATCGAACCCAGGTTGGCCGCGTGCAAGGCAAACACCCTACCTGCGGTGCTATTGCTCCAGCCCCCTCTGGCCCCCCTTTTCAATCTTCACCAATTATTAGCAAGGAAGGATTCCATTTGTCAACAAAGCATGACTATTTTGCACCTCAAGGTCATTAACCTGGCTAAAGAAATTTTAACGACGGGCTGTCATTTTCTAGGTAAAAATGAGGATGGTGATTCCTTTGTAAAAACAAAAAAACTACTTCTGTATGTCTAATTTCTAGGATAAGAAATTATTTACCAGGGGCTGGAATGAGAGGACAGCTGGCAGGGTGTTTACCTTGCATGCCAGCTGGTAGGGTGTTTACCTTGCATGCGGCCCACCCAGGTTTGATGCCCAGCATCCCATATGGTCCCCTGAACCCTCCAGGAGTGTTCCCTGAGCTCAGAGCCAGGAGTAGACCCTGAACACAGTTGGGCATAGCCCCCAAACAAAAACAAGTTATTCACGGGCTGGGGACAGCTCACAGGGTTGAGCAATGCGTTGTGTGTTAGAGTCCCAGGTTCAAGCCCCAGCACCACCCGGTTCCTTGGTCACCACTGGGAGTGACCTCCAAGCACCCAGCTGGGAGTAAGCGGCCTCTGAGCACTGTGGGGTGTGTCCCAAGAACCAAAAGAAAAATTATTTGTACCGATTCAGAGCCCTTGACAAGGTTCTCCTGTACAGACGTGCCAAGGATGGATAGAGCAAAGAGATACACAGGACAATCCCAGGCAAGTCTGTGTGGGACATGAAGGTGGCGGGCAGCAATGTGCTAGCACCTTCTAAAGAGTTGGTAGAAGCAAGAGAAGTGCAGGAAGAAACTTCCTCAGAGTCAGGAGTAAGCCCTGAGCAACGCCGGCACGCCAAAACAAAACCAAACACAGGAAAGGAGAAAGCCCACAGGCCACGCGTGTCTGTCAACGAGGGAATGGGCGGCCCTTGCGCAGGGGCTCGAAGACCAATCCAGGGGGGCCTGGTGGCTCGAGGCAGAGGAAGTGGGAGTGCACAGGCCAGGTCCACGAGCAGGGGAGCCAACGCACCAGCAATGGGGGCAGGGGGTGTGGCAGCTGGCCAGGAAAGAGGACCCCGAGGTCAGTGGGCCAGAGAAGCATCCGGGCCCGGTGGTGGAAAGCGTGGGCGCTGGGTCAACACAGGAATGCCCCTGAGCCCCCCAAACCAGACAATGTACAACAACAGGAAACGCCTCGCAGGGTGGGTGTTGGCGCGGGCAAATCCCTGAGAAAGGGCCCAAGGCTTTCTCACCAGACAGCTCCCGCAGAAAGGGCCTCATGAGATCGGAAGGTACCCAGGAAGGGCCCCTCCAGGCTCATTCCTCAGCAAATGAATGGCCACGAGCGACCGCCATTCTCATGGGTGCCAGTGGTAACCCAGTGGCATGGGCACTCGGCAAACGGCATGGAATAAGATCTGTGAAATGCCTGATGACTCTCCTGATGCCCAGGACTGGCCCCGGAGGGACAGGCCTGAAGCAGGACACAAAAGGATGAGGAACAAAAGCTGAAAAGCCCGGGGAAGGGTTTTTTTTTTTTTTTTGGAGGGAGTCACACCCAAAATGCACAGGGGTTACTCCTGGCTCTGCACTCAGGAATTACCCCTGATGGTGCGCAGGGGACCATATGGGATGCTGGAAGTCGAACTCGGGTCAGCCGTATGCAAGGCAAACGCTCTTCCTGTTGTGCTATCACTCCAGCCCTGGGGGAGGGGCTTTTTTTGCACGACCAAGATTCGTTCATTGCTTAGAACCAGGAATCATCACAAGAGCAACTTTTTCTGTCCATCTGTCCGGGCTGGACTTTTACACATCTGAGGGCCTCAGTGTATCAGCTTTAACATCTTTGTGATGGGCTTTCTTGAGGGAGATGCTTCTTGGGCAAAGAGCAGAGATAGAGCAGTTCCCAGACCCCCGCCCGCAGCATTCCACCTCAGCACCAACAGTCTGGCGACGGTCCCCGAGGCCACTGGTCTGGCCTTTCTCCTTTACCCATGTGCCTTGAGCCTCAGTTCCCACATCCATGGCCCAGCAACCCACGAACTAGGCAGGCCTCCCAGCAGCCAGACCCCAGAGAAGGAAAACATGTGCATGTATACACACATTGTGTGGTACGACACACATGTGCACGTGGACATGGGCTATGTGGGATGACACACACGTGCATGTAGACGTGCGTTATGTGGGACATACATGTGCATGTGGACACATGTTAGGTGGGATGACACACACGTGCATACAGACGCGAGTAATGTGGGACAACACACACACATGTGCATATGGACACAAGTCAGCTGCTGTGGGAAGCAGTCAGCTGCTGTGGGAAGCAATGTGGAGTTTTCTTCAAGAGAGCAGGAACAGAACTCCCAGGAGACCCGGGGATACCACTCCTTGGCACCCAAAAACCAAAAACTAAGGGGCTGGAGGGACAGTACATCGGGTGGGGCGTTTGCCTAGCAGTGGCCGACAACCCAGGTTCTATTCCCAGCATCTCATATGGTCCTCTGAGCACTGCCAGGAGTAATTCCTGAGTGCACGAGCCAGGAGTAACCCCTGTGCATCACTGGGTGTGACCAAAAAAACAAAACAAAAAGTTTCGATTAGCAACAAGAGCCCAGTAAACCCTTGGAAAGGACTTAATGTCCCAAGCAAACTGATGAACAATGGGAGGACAGTGACAGTGATGGGTGAGATATGAGAGAGCAAGAGAGAGGGAGAGAGACAGAGAGCAAGAGAAGGAGAGAGAGAGAAGGGAGAGAGCGGCAAGCACAGGACAAAGGCTCTTGCCCTTGCACACTATGGACCCTTGGCACCCACCCCCAGCACCACATATGAACAGAGCACCCCAGGAATAACCCCTGAGCACAGGGGCACGAGTTAAGCCCTGAGCATGGCCAGTGAAGCCGCCAACACTCACACCTTCCCTCACAAAAGCTTGGGGTAAGGAGACTGTCTCGATTCTACGGGTACTGACATGCCCATACAGGGTTCCCAAATCCACTGAATGCCACGCTTAAAATCGGTGGATATCATTCTGTATAACACAGAATTAGAAGAAAGAATTTTTCGTAAAATGTGAAGAGCTAGAAGCATTTGGAGATACAGACATGTTTTCGGTTTGACAAAAGCGGTGGGATTTTAGCAGACGCTGAAAAGCAAACTTGGCCAATGGAAAACCTCTGACTCCTTGAGGACGTTCCCGGCAACAGAAATTCCTTAACGTGGGAAGTGTCGCTGGACACTGGAAGATGATGTTGGGAGGCTAGAAGGTGCTTCAGAAACAGCGAACGTTCCAAATAACAGGCACTGGGTACAGGCACCCCCTCCGCTGAGAGTTCGGCCAAGGCAGAGGGAGGCAGCTCCTGGGAGTGGGGAGGGCCCTCCTGCCCCTCACCCGGTGAAAAACACCCATTAGGATATGATCAGGCTTTGCCACAGACTCTCCTGGAAGGACCGGAGGAGTGACCAGTGGCCCCGCCCCGCCTTTCACCTGGACCAGGGCATGGGCCAAGCCACTTTAGCGGGTTTTTCACCCGAAGATGGCTCAAGTCTTTCTTTACGGCTCCGCCCTGCTCGAGGCAGTGCCAGAGGCACCAGACTGTCAGGCTGTGTCCCTGTCCAAGTGAGGCCCAGACTCTATTTTTTGGGTTCGTATTTTTGGGTCACAACCTGGCTGTGCTCCTGACTCTGTGCCCAGGGATCACTCCTGGTGGTGCTCGGGGCTCACTCCTGGGGTGCTTGGGGACCACTCCTGGTGGTACTCAGGGATCACTCTTGGTGCTGCTTGGGGATCACTCCTGGAGGTGCTCGGGGACCACTCCTGCTGGTGCTCCAGGAATCTTCAGTCGTGCCAGGCAAACACCCTCCCTGCCGTACTCCCTCTCCGGCCCCGGGATACGCTGTTTAGCTCACCCTAGGGCGGACCAACGGTCTAGCACCTTCCGGGGCTCTGCCGAGGCCTCTGGCTCTGGGGCTCCCTAGAATGGGGCCTCGCCCCAGGGGCAGCATGGGGAGTCTAGGCGTCGGTGCCTTGGGGGAGGCCTGGAGGGGGCGGTGGGGGCCCCAGGTGGACTGCGACCAGCCGCCTGTGGCCTGCACTCTGGCTCCAGCCAGCGGAGAAGTTCGCTGAGCGCAGGCCAAAGCCCGGGGCGCGGCACCCCGGGAGCGGGGCCGTGCT